TTTTGCGACGCCTTCATGTCATCTAAGAAAACCTGAGCTGATAATATAAAGTTCAACAATCACACTTATTCATGAAATCTCAAAAATGCTTTCACTTTCCTTTTTCGGATGAATTTTTCAACGAAATTCATTTCTGTATGATTGAGAGAAAAAATCCAAGCACATATTGATACCGCTCTTCGATCTATGATGTTGTCAACTTTTGCCAGTGAAATATTCTACAAAAATTTCAATCTTAGCAATTCCGAACCTGTTGCCACATGACGACTCATATCAATTCCACTAAGTTCCAGATTTCCGAATGACACTTGTGCAACCGATCCCTACAGTAACATGGGTTTTGCTTGGCACTTTGCTTTTATCGATGTGACAATAAATTTTCTAGCAAAAACTATCACTTTCAATCTAGCGAGAATACGCCCTTTGGCGTAATATTGAACATTGCGAAACTGGTCCCACGCACAGAACCCATCCCATCAAATTTCTAGCAATTCCGGAATTCCAACGAACACGACCAACAGGGAATTGCACGCAATTCCGATTCTCTCCAAAATTGAGTTATCCTTCATTATTTGTTATTCGGTACCTTCTCCTCTCGACTTGCAGACAACGATACTAGTCATGTCCACATCAGAATTCGCACAGACACCCACACCAACATTCCCATAACCACTACTCTATTTTAGGCGGCTGCACTGACAACAACGGTGGATGTGATCCAAACGCCACTTGCTCACATGATGCTACGACAAATGCAATAGATTGCACCTGTAAAACTGGTTACACCAACACTGGTAGCTCTGTGAACGTTGTATGTAAAGGTATTATGATGTCTGGCAGAACGTTAAACATTTCCTCACCACATCTCTCTTTCCAGATAGTTGCACTGTCAACAATGGAGATTGTGATTCAAACGCCATTTGCTCGCATGATGCTACGACAAATGCAGTAAAATGCACCTGTAAAGCTGGTTATACGAACACTGGTAGCTCCGTGAACGTTGTATGTAAAGGTATTATGATGTCTGGCAGAACGTTAAACATTTCCTCACCACATCTCTCTTTCCAGATATTTGCGCTGTCAACAATGGAGATTGTGGTACGAGCGCCACTTGCTCATATAATGCTGCAACAAATGCAGTAGCATGCACCTGTGCAGATGGTTATATCTACACAGTCTCGGCTTCGGAAGGTATACACAGAGGTACGGTATCGATCTTGTAGAAGCAGAAATATTTTGCTGTTGCATTCTTGTTTTGTGCGAAATGTTGTGTTGTATCGGGTTCTTCATTAATTCATGTATGAAATTAATTCTGATTTTTGTCTCATAATACAAGTTTCTAATAAGAATTATCAGATTTTCTTTCGCTCCTTTACTACTTTTTTCTTTGCATATAAGCACGGACGTCGCCTGTAAGAAAAGTGTATTGGTATGAGATGAGGAGAATCAGTTATAGCTGGAAAAATCACGGTCTACTATTTTCTCTTTAAAGGAAATGAAGAAATTTCATAACTTACTTAATGAAATTGGGTATGGTTCTGAAAGCTATAATGGTGTGTGATTGGATTTCAGAATTAGTCAAAGTGTTCTTCTACCGATCAGGTTGTTTTCTTCTAAAAAACGGTGTTGGTGGTCCGTATATCGTACGAAAAATCTTCAATTGATAGGTATTAAATAGTTTTTGTATAGCCATAATGCAATTTATCACTGAGAAAACTATTCTTACTTGGTGATCTATTCGTAAGGGTCGATTTCGATTGACCGATTAATTATTTCCATGATTGGGTGTGGGTATAGATTAGCACAAGAATCACACTCACTCTTCAGCGCGATAGAGGGAGAGAGAGAGATCTTCTTTTATTTCTCTGTTTTCTCTTCTAGTTAGTATTCCTGCTGGTGCTAAATGGTCAAAGAACGGAGTGACTGTTGCTGGAGGTCACGGGGGAGGGGGTGCTAGAAATCAACTCTTCTACGCTTGGGGTCTCTTTGTTGATGATGATCAAACGGTGTTTATTGCTGATTGGGGGAATCATCGTATCGTGCAATATAAGAACGGTGATACGACGAATGGACAAGTTGTTGCTGGTGGTAATGGCGTAGGAAATGGATTACATCAATTGTTTGGTGTAATTGATGTATTAATTGACAAAAAGTCGAATAGTCTCATTATTTGTGATCAAGGGAATTTACGAGTTGTACGATGGTCTCGTTGTAGTGGTACAACACAAGGAGAAGTCCTCATTGATAACATCTACTGTGCAGGATTAGCAATGGATGAGCAGAGATATCTCTACGTCTCTGTAATCGGAAAAAGTGAAGTGAGACGATATCAATTGGGTAAGAAGAATTACACTATCGTAGCTGGTGGTAATGGTGAAGGTAATGGTCTCAATCAACTCAACTATCCGACATATCTCTTTGTCGATCAGCAACAGAATGTCTACGTGTCAGACAGCTCCAATCAGCGTGTAATAAAATGGAATAAAGATGCAAAAGAAGGTATTGTGGTCGCTGGTGGACAAGGCCTAGGGGGTGCTCTGACTCAATTGTATTATCCTGAAGGAATCTTCGTTGATACGTTCGGTACACTCTATGTAGCAGACTCGGGGAATCATCGCGTCATGCGTTGGACTCAAGGAGACAACAAGCAGGGCACTGTAATTGTGGGTGGAAACGGCGCAGGAGTAGGAGCAAATCAGTTCGACCGCCCCTTTGGTTTGTCTTTCGATCGACGTGGTAATCTCTATGCTGTCGATTACAATAATCACCGTGTTCAACGATTTTCTATCGAATAAGACTTGTGAATTGTTTTCTCTTTGTTCGTTTCTTTTTCTATACTTTGAAATGAATGAAAACAAAAAAGAATTTCTTTTTACCCTTTCCCTTCAACGAAAAGAAAAAAGTTAAAATATAAGATTACATCACATGTTTCTTTTCTTGTTCTTTTATTTTTTTTGTTAAATGAAAAGAAATGAATTAAATAAAAGATTTTGTTTTCTTTCGCAAAATATTTATTCTTGACATGAAAATTAATTTGTTACTTTGAAAATATTTATTCTTGACATGAAAGTTAATTTGTTACTTTGAAAATATTTTATTCCTGAAAAGAAAATATGAATTATTTAAATGAAAAAGAAAATTTGAATTATTTTGAAAATAATTTATTGGTAAAATGAAAATAATTTTTTAGTAAAATAAAATAATTTATTATTGAAATGAAAATAAAATAATTTGAGTTATTTAAATGAAGTTTATTTTAAAAATGAAAATAATTAAATTACATAAAAATTAAACAACAACAATCGAAAATTTATATACTTATATTTGTGTTCGTTTGAATTGAATTGAATTGTTTGTTGAATGGAACTAAAACATAAAAAGTAACAATTAATTTTATTTGTTTAGAATAAGAAAATAAGTGAAAGAAATTATATTTACTTTGCTGTTGAAGAAATCAAAATGAACTAAAACGAAACAAGCAGAAATGAATTTGATTGGTATGAAAATTTATTTTTTTTGCTTACCAGCTAATAGTTGCTCGCGCGACCAAGAACTACCTTGGTGGTGCCATAGACAGCCAAGGCTCTTCACGTACAGACATAGATCTAGCGTGTATAGAACATACAACAGGAAGATCTATATGCGGCCTGTACGTGCTATGGGCACCAAAGTAGACTTGGCCAGTTTCACGCCGATGTATGGAAGGCCTCCGTAGGACGTAAAATAATATACATATATACAAAAAGTTATACTTACTTTGTTTTGTATCACTAAAATAGAAAATAGAAAAAGTAAAATTGAAACTAAAATAGATAATAGAAAGACAATTATAATGATATAAAATTAAAATAAATAAATGGGATAAAAAGCTGAGACAATGAAAAAATAAAATTAAACTAATACTTACATATGATATTGAACCATGATCAGTACGAATAACAAGCTAAAATAGTGAAATAATAAAATATACATATAGTAATGTAAGAAGAAGAGAAAGAAAGAGAGGAATGTCATAATATCCACAACTTAGGTATCGAGATGAATACCCATATAGGATACCCAGTTGCATGGATATCTACGTATCCTCAGAGCTGAGGAATTTGTGTGCATTTGGTGTAACGAGAATGGGTATCCATTTTTCCCTCTACTGAAAGGAGGGTCTTACGAAAAGTGAGTTAAATGCGTTCGTTCGTGTGTGTGTGTGTCCGTTCATTCGTCCAATAGGAAAGCAGATGCATAAACTTCACTAACCTCAAACAATATCTGTAGAGATAAGTTTCACCGAAGGTAACCGGGTCGGGGAACACGATGGCACTGTTAGATTTTTTTAAATTTTGCTTTCTCCTTTTTTTAGGGAGAGAGAGAGACTATTTTAGAAAAAAAAAATTTTCTTATAAGCGTTGACCGAAGGTAATCGGGGTCGGGGAACACGATGGCGTTGTCAGTTTTTTGCAATTTTGCTTTCTCCTTTTTTTAGGGAGAGAGAGAGACTTTTTTAGAAAAAAAATAGTTTTTTATAAGGGTTGACCGAAGGTTCCAAAAGTCTATCTGTTTAAGAATCGCATACGTTTTCTAAATATTTATGGGGTATAGCGAAATGCATGCATGCTTGCAAACTATGGTATGATATACCTTGACATTGTAGTATGTAATCTGAGGTATTGATACGATCGAATGTTTCTGGCTGGTTGTAAGATGTATAGGCAAGCAGTTTTTTTTTCAAGAAGTGAGTCATACAAGCTTTATTAAATATTAATAGAATATGATAAAGTGGAAGACAAATGAAACATGCAATGCATAGTAAATATTTTTTTAGCTGTCTGATTAGTTCAAAGATCGTGTGATTGCTAAAAAATGTTGGTTCTACATAGATATTGGAAAACGTTTTGGAGTAGTTTTTGCGATTTGATCCAATCTTTTGAGCTCTTCGCGCTGCGCTGTTGATGGTTTCACTTGAAGAGCTGCGAATTCAAAAGGACGTATGATCAGTAAATCATCCAACCGTTTCACTCGTGAGAGTGGAACGTAAACGATGCGACTTCGATTGGACCAGGTGGCATGACCAGATCAATGATAATTTTGTCAAGCGTTTGGCCTTGACTCTTATGTGTTGTCATGCTGTAGGCCGGAATTAAAGAAAGCGCTTTACGCTTGATTGAGATTTTTGTGTTTTTTTGGTTAATTTTTGCGGCTTTTGCAACATTTTCTGCAAGAAGCTCCTTAGCATCAAACAGAAATGTTTGCTCACTGACTGGTATAGGAATGATCTTGGCTTGAAGTTCAGCAAGTTCAGAATCAAGTTTGCAATTGGGAAATTCTACTAAGGCGTATTTTGGTTGAGTGATAAACTTGGTATTTGTTGGAAAATTCTTGTCTTGAAATTGAATATCCACTGAAGATTCTTCGTATACAAGTTGATGGAATATTCCACGTGTACCATTGGAGAGTCCGAGCTCTGTAGCCACGTTTTCTGTAAGTAAAACTGGTATCCCAGGTACAAGAGGTAAATAGCCTGGAAGATGCTCCGTTTTGTTGTCAGGTAATTCAAGAATCGTTTTGCGTAACCGTAAGTCGTCTATAAGCTTTCCTTGAAAATAATCTTGAGCAACACACACCATTGGTCGCAGTCCCATTTCCATTGCTTTATTTAACACAGCTCGATTGTTAATTTGAGTGCGAAGTGTGTTTCGAAAAACGAGTATTGGAGCCTGTTAAAGAATGTATGATTACATATAGAAAAAAATACTGGGCAAACCTACTTCATTCCATGGCTTCTGTCGCAAAGATGCTTGTAGCTTTGGATTTCCAACGATACGTGTGCAAAGAAGTTGATAATCTTCAATTGTTGATTGACCACCTCTCAATCTGTTTAAAAGCTCCAAATATTGGAGGTCTTCGGTTCGCATTTGCTGACTCAATTCAACTACGCAATTCATTTGAGATATAAGTTTCTGTGCACATTGCATATCTATTTGACGTTCTGTAATTTGTTCAGACGACGCACAGCTGTGATAGAGAGGTCTATCCAACACTGGAGAATATTGCAGATAGTCCCCAAAAAAAATCACATTTACACCACCAAAAGGAATATCTGAATTTGTATGCTTTTCTGTTTTCACTATACGATTGAGACGAGCTAATAGGCTAAGTCCAACCATACTCATCTCATCGATTATCAAGTATTTGACATGACGCCATTCATTTTCCAATTTTGTGTTGCCGGGTCTGAATGTTCTTGTTTGCTTCTTTTTGGAACTTTTGCGGTTTTCGCCTAAAAATGAATGAATGGTTAAACCATCAATTTCTGCTGGTGCTATAGACGTTGGTGCCAGTTTACGCAGCATTTTGCCCCTCTTTGTTAGTTGGAAATATTGCGTGATTGCACGAATCAATTGAGATTTACCAGTGCCACCACAACCAGGTACACACATCAATAACTGGTTGTCAGCAGAGTCTAAACGATTATGACTAATGACAATTTATAATCGAAAATTTGAAAAATATATACCCGTGCGAATTTGGTTCTCACCATCTAGGTGACTAGTAACAATCATAAAAGCATACTGCTGTTGACTATTTAATGTGAATTGTTTGATGATATTCATTTTTGTTGGAAATGAGATTGCTGTTGTTATAGTCACAGGTGGCACTGCAGTAGTCTGTGCCTTAAATGGACTGGTTGGTATTTCAGCCGCTACGACTTCAATCTGTACTTCATCATCTCTAATTTCCACCGTATTTTCACATGAAATTAAATAATTTCTTGCTTTATCCCTTCTATTTTCAATATCACGTTTCCACTCTTTAATCATTGCTGCACGATGTGAATGAGCTACGACAAATGTGCTTGAATCGTGTACGATATCATGACTATTTTGGTTCCATACGTTTCTCTGGTCTAAATAAAAACAAATATTTTCGCACTGTAGCTCTAATACACTCACGATTGAGTAATGCAAATTGATCTGTGTTATCAATTGCTTGCAATGCATCATTGAGATAGCGTTGCTCTTGATTCCCGTTTGATGTAAAGAAGGCATTTGTAGTGACCTCATTTATGATGAAAAACATTTGTAAAAGCTGTTCAGGATCATCTTCTTCGGTATTTTGATCTTCTTCATAGTAGTTAGGTATCAAAACAGGATCGATGCTATTGTCACTCTGTGCTTCTACAAGCACACTTGACGAAGGTGTTCATCTCGATCGTGCTTACATTTATGCAAAAGTTGTATATTTTCTATAATCTTGAGTGAGGTGGGAGAGATCAATGGGTTTTGAACTTCCAATGCCTCAGCTCATATCTGATTCAATGCACAAAGATCGTGAACTGATATCCGTGGTACGAACAGAGTTAACAATGCACGACTATAACGCTCGCGTGTTTCTTCCCGTTGTTGGCGTGGTATTTGAGGTCCAACAAGAACTGGCACAACTGGATTGGTATGTTTAATGACGATATGTGAGGATGATTGTGAATGTGCAGTCTCAAATATATACCGTTCATTCATTTTTGTTCCTTCTGTATCTAGTCGTTCACCTTCAGACCCATTCGCATTCTTTATCAAGTGGCGATCGGATTTGTCGATAAGTTTCGTGTGAAAATGACTGGCAAAGTCATATAAACACAAGGCAGTAAGATCTTGTGATCGATGCTGATAGTCTAGGCGAGTGTTGACCATGACAAACCTGGCACCATTTTTGGTTTGTGTTGGCTCCGATAGAAACTGTTCTTCAGTTTGTTTTGTATCTTCTTCTTGTTCTTCATCAAAGGGCGTTGTCATGTCTAGAAATATCTCGTATCAAATATCTATTTTATCATTAAGTATATTTTACCGTCTAGTCTCTCTTCGTCGACGTCTTTTTCCTGGAGTCGTGCTTTGGTTAGTTCTACTTGTAAATAGTTTTCAATCGAGATGAGAAAAAGATTTCTGAATGTATGTGTAGTATAATGATCATCATAATTCATTAGATAGGATGCCACTTGAACACCTGAAACTTCTTGTTGTGAAGCAATCATATTATAGCAGCGTAATACAAGTTTACGAGATTTTTCAATAGCATTATCAATGCTATTTGTGATTCCTTGTTGCGCAAGGGCAAAAATATCGTGAAACTCGAGAGTCGAATTTGTTACATAATCAGTTATATAGTACACTAAGGCCTTAGCATCATTGCCACTCCAAATAAATTTAGTATCCATATTGGATCGATACGCAATTATGAGCCATTCATTGAAGTTATTTATCCACGGATGTGATCGCCGCATAGTTATCTGACCTGTCGTGAGATCGATGTTGGAAGTCTTCACCAGTACACGTGGCATACGCATTCGGCAAGTTTTTGAAGTATCAGACTTGCCTTTCGAATATTTATAGCAAGTTGTAGAATGCTTATGAATATTTGACGTTTCCACTAATCGTACTACATCTTTGCAAAAAATTCGATGAAAATCATCCGATGCAGGATTTGGCNTGATTCGTGCAATCACGCAATATTTCCAACTAACAAAGAGGGGCAAAATGCTGCGTAAACTGGCACCAACGTCTATAGCAGCAGCAAAAATTGATGGTTTAACCATTCATTCATTTTTAGACGAAAACCGCAAAAGTTCCAAAAAAGAAGCAAACACGAACATTCAGACCCGGCGATACGAAGTTGGAAAATGAATGGCGTCATGTCAAATACTTGATAATCGATGAGATGAGTATGGTTGGACTTAGCCTCTTAGCTCGTCTCAATCGTATCGTGAAAACAGCAAAGCATATAAATTCCGAGACTCCTTCTGGTGGTGTAAATGTGATTTTTTGGGGACTATCTGCAATAATCTTCAGTGTTGGATAGACCTCTCTATCACAGCTGTGCACCGTCTGAGCAAAGTACGTAACATCAAATAGATATACAATCTGCACAGAAACTCATATCTTAAATGAATTGCGTTCTTGAATTGAGTCAGAAAATGCAAACCGAAGACCTCCGATATTTGGAGCTTTTAAACAGACTCAGAAGTTGACAATCAACAATTGAAGATTATCAACTTCTTTGTACACGTATCGTTAGAAATCCAACGCTACGAGCATCTTTGCGACAGAAGCCATGGAATGAAGTAGGTTTGCTCAGTCTTTTTTTCTATATGCAATCATACATTCTTTAACAAGCTCCAATACTAGTTTTTCGAAACACACTTCGTACTCAAATTAACAATTGAACTGTGTTAAATAAAGCAATAGAAATGGAGCTTCGACCAATGGTTTGTGTTGCTCAAGATTATTTTCAAGGAAAGATTATAGACGACTAACGGTTACGCAAAACGATTCTTGAATTACCTGACAACAAAACGGAGCATCTTCCAGGCTATTTACCGCTTGTACTTGGGATGCCAGTTTTACTTACAGAAAACATGGCTACAGAGCTCGGACTCTCCAATGGTACACGTGGAATATTTCATCAGCTTTTATACGAAAAATCTTCAGCGGATATTCAATTTCAAGGCAAGAATTTTCCAACAAATCCCAAGTTTATCACTCAACCAAAATACGCCTTAATAGAATTTCCCAATTGCAAAATTGATTCTGAACTTGCAGAACTTCAAACCAAGATCATTCCCATACCGATCAGTGAGCAAACATTTATGTTTGATGTTAAGGAGCTTCTTGCGGAGAATGTTGCAAAAGCCGCAAGAATTAACAAAAATCTCAATCAAGCGTAAAGCGCTTCCTTTAATTCCTGCCTACAGCATGATAACACATAAGAGTCAAGGCCAAGCGCTTGGCAAAATTATCATTGATCTGGTCATGCCACCTGGTCCAGTCGAAGTCACATCGGTTTACGTTCCACTCTCACGAGTGAAACGGTTGGATGATTTACAGATCATAAGTCCTTTTGAATTCGCAGCTCTTCAAGTGAAACCATCAACAGCACAGCGCGAAGAGCTCGAAAGATTGAATCGAATCGCAAAAACTACTCCAAAACGTTTTCCAATATCTATGTGGAACAAACATTTTTTAACAATTACACGATTTTCGAACTAATCTCACAGCTACAAAATATTTCTTATGCATTGCATGTTCGGCTGGTCTTTAATAGCATATCATATTCTATTAATATTTAATAAAACTTGTATGATTCATTTCTTGAAATAAAAACTGCATAACCTATACATCTTACATCCAGTCAGAAGCATTCGATCGTACCAATACCTCAGACAACATACTAGAATGTCAAAGTATATGATACCATAGTTTGCAAGGACGCATGAATTCCTCTAAATAAGATGCATGCACAGACAACGTATGTAATTATTTAACATACACATTAATACAAGCTTTGCTCACACTGTAAAAGCTAAATTTTTCACAACACAACCTCGTATTCTCCTGGAAAAAGCAAAATAGCAAAATTTCAAAAATCTGACAACGCCATTGTGTTCTCCGACCCCGATTATCCACGGTCAACCCTATCCCTGCAGAATATTGTTTGTGGTTAGTTAAGTTTATGCATCTGCTTTCCTATTGGACGGACGAACGAACGAACGCATTTAACTCGTTTTTCGTAATACCCTCTTTTCAGTAGAGGGAATAAAATAACGATTTATTGTGGTTATTCTTCACACCCACACCCTCACCCGCGTTTCTTAAAGGCATTTATCGGACTAGGTGCCCACATCTTTCTCGCCATCCCTACCCGCACCCTGCTCCCACACCTCAATTTTCCATCGAAATTTGTGACTTATATGCATACAAAGGAGCGCTCGGCAGAGTTGATTCTTGCACCGTAAACATTACTAATTGAGCTATACAATAATAGAACTTATTCGGGTAGATTATAGATATTTGTGTTTTGTCTTGAAGAAAACGGATGCATTAGGGTGGAAATGTACCATTCCCGGAGGTTTCGTACGTTGCTACGTCTTCTTATTCTTGGCGTTCTCTGCATATACATAACTAAATACTATTGGTACTACGTCGATGATGAAAACATCAGGGCATTCAGACGTCCAAAGAAACCTTTTAAGGTACCTGAATTTGAGATGGCTCGATTTGACTCACTGATATCGCCGTTAGCCATGCTAAAGAATAGTACTTTTTTACTCAATGAAATGGAATGGACCATCGGTAAAAATCTTTCTCAGTGGAGTCTAGGCAGTCACCCGGGACGTGTTCCGCAGTTCGCAAGTATAAAGTTTCTTCCATCAGTACATCAACTTTTTGGATTATGTGATATCAATATAACTCAACCGAGTTTATTTGTTAAATTGGTGTATTGGCCCCAGCACGGCCATACACTTTTCAATGTCATTTCAAACATATATCAGACAATGAAAGAAATCAAAGTTGAATTTGGTCGAATTCGTTTATATGCAGCTGTTGACGATGTCAATGCAATCAACGATTGGAACGAAAAAGTATCTGACCTGGGACAATATACGCCAATTTTCAAAGCTTTTAGTAATGAACCAGTGTACAATTACTATGGACTTATCAAAGATTCACTGTCACAGACGATATGCTTTACAAAAACGATTGCTATTGGAGTATCGAAACGATTAGATCACTACACTGTAGGAATCAGCCTGCAAGATTGGCGGTCATTTTCCAAATGGGTATTAGATGTTTTTCAGATTCCGACTACAACAATGAAATCAGATACTAAGTCATCTTCAGAAAGAGTTGTTCTTACTCTGATTGCGAGATCGTCAAGAAAAATTCTGAATCTCTCACAACTGAAAAGCATATCCGAGAAAACATATAAGCGTTCAATGTTCGCCCAGATAATCGATTTGGCTGGTATCTCGTTCGCTGACCAACTGAGATATATGCGAAATACAACCATACTCTTTGCAATAGACGGGACCGCATTAGTGAATTCGTTATTCATGTTAAACCCCTGCGGAGTTGTGATACACATCGGCACTTATATGATGCGAATACTCGTACCAGGCAAAGGTAAAAATTTCCGACCTCTAGTGGAAGCAGGAACAGGAAAGAATCGATACATTTACAGCGAGATACAACGCTTGGTAGATGTACATGATGTCCAAAGAAACAGGCTCCGTAACATTTCGTTATTTAAGATGACACCATCCCAAAGATTTCGTTTGGCTGTACAGCAAGATGTTCGTCTACCATTACCCCAATACTTGAAACTTCTTAAAGAAGCTATGAACATGGTACAGCTATGTTTCAATCGTCTACCGGGCAATATTAATCCTTAAACTTTATATCCAAGCCAACGGCGCAACCAGAGGAGGTGCAAATGGGCAATTGCCCACACTGTAAAAAACGGATTTATAAAAGTGCAACGTGCCACATACCCTTTCCTCCGTTTTTGAAAAGTCCGATAAAACGTTTTTCTAAATCATAAACCTAAAAACCGTTTATTATGTTCGTCATGTACGGAAAAAAAGGGTTTATGATACGTTGCACTTTCATAAACCCTTTTTTTTGTTAAATACCCTATGAAAAACGTTTTTTCCGTTTATTATTCTGCAGATTTTCTTTTACAGTGCAGTTCGTTTGGAGAGTTGCCCATTGAAATTTTATTTTTTCCGAATTTCTTATTTATTTTTGAATTCGATAGTTGCTACATTTTTTCTCCCATCTGACGCTCACAAACACTGTCCATTTGCTTTTTCTGTGAAAAATTTAGCAAAGAAGAAGAAAAGAATCACTTCTTGTATTTTGACTTCTGCATGTGCTTTTTCCTTACTCGTCTATATGTATGCGTATAGTGTGTCAACAGCTTCTGCCGAAAGAAGTTTTAACAAGGGGGAGAGACAATTTTGATTTTCATAATTTTAAGCGATCTTCGAGGATTCTTAGTGATTTTTACCAAATAAAAAGATACTGGAAATCATTGAGAATCACCGATAATCAATGAAAATCAATTGGTTTAGGGGTACTTTTCGGTGATTTTTGCCCAATTTTGAGTCGATTAAAATAACCTCCCTCTTGCTGAAAACCCATTCTTTTGGCTTGTTGGATGTTCTTTGAAGCAACTTTTCATGATTTTGAAGGTTTCGAGCAATAGGAAGCCATTAGGAGCATGTAACGAATTTAGTTTGATGATAAATGGATAGTTTATCTTCGTTACTGCTGCAGCTTTAATTTTATTTGCGATCACAAAGAGAGACTGGGAGAGTAGCGTTACCGTTATCCTCGGTGAATAAGAGATGTTAGTTACACTACTCCATTCTCTAGTTTTCCAGTTCTGTTCCAGTTCTGTCGTATAATATAATGTACTCGCTTCATATACGTGCACACGAGAGAGAGAGAAGAATAGAAAAAGATATAATAGGCATATGCGCATTACGTAGATTATGTCTAAAGATGCAATCACGTTACATAAAAGTAAATGGATAACATTAAGAAGTAAACCAGAAAGATTGATGAGAGTACTAGGTTATACAATGCCTATGGCATATTGCATAACGCTCATCATAATGTATTCCTCCTTCCTAATACCGGGTCAGAGGATATTCCAAAGAAATGGAAACGCAAATATGTGAACAATAAAGGATGTCCATGCATTATTGGCATAGAGCAGATCTACTTTATTATCTGATTTTAGTGAGTTTTGAGTGATTTTTGTTGATTTTACCTGATTTTAGGTTGATTCAAGTCACACTCCCCCTGAGTTCCAGCGAATTATTACGAATTAAAAATAAATGTCGGTTTACAATAAAACAAAATTGACTAAATGAAATTACTGCTGCATATATTCAGAAGGATATCGATATACATCCCAATAAAATCTTGAAAAAATATATATACATACACTGAAAAAAAAAGGTTCCATGCGGAACCTGAAAGGTTTCGCGGTGTTTTACAATACTTTAAAAGGTTTCGATCGGAAACACGAAACCTTATCGTACTTCAGTTCCATCAGAGGTTTCGTGAAAAACCTTGAAAAAGGTTTTGGATTCAGCAAAGTGTCATAATATACATTTTTAAGGTTTGGAATTCAACAAGGCTTCGTAAAATACTCCTATATAATTTTTGATCAACATAAGTTGTAGAGTGGCGCTCCTTTTCACTACTTGTTTTGTTGTCGAGTTAAGTAAAAATCAATTACTTATTTTTCCACTGCTCCTCTTATTCTACATCAGCTTCACTGTTTCCAATATTAAGCACCTCAAGCAAAAGCAAATAGTAGAGGTACTTACAATTTAGTAAAGGCACTGCATTTCGGGTGTGGGTGTGGATGTTGATCTTCTGTCCAGCCGCACCAGACACTCACACCCACACCCACAGCCCACACGCACATTTGCCTTTGACTCGTGATAAAAGAAATTTTGTTTTCGATGACATCCGTGGGGTACCCGAGGCAGAAAATCGTCAATGTGGATTTTCGTGAAACAAAGTTGAAAAAAGTGATCAAGAACGATCCCTGATTAATAACTGATAGAAAAAATTGAAATTTGAGGGGACCACAAAACGGCCCTTTACGCCTTTCTCCTTTACTGCAGACCGTTATTTGCAGGACATGAATTATTTATGTTAGAATCGAATTCACTTCTATCTGAATTCAATTGAATTGAGCCTGTACTTTCTTCATCGTCGTCGGCCATCGGTTCATCTCTATTCATGGGAATATCAATAGAATTTTCATTGCTTATGCTTGAATTTGGTTTAGACGACGATAATAGGGAAAAGCGTCCAGTACATCTTGATAATTGACTGCAATCACTAATTATATTTTTCATACTAGATCAAATGTTTTTATTAATGTGATGAAATGTCATAGTCCGATTGTTCAGAGATAATTTTGATTTCTCTCTCGATGAAGTTTTTGTTTTGTCTTCAGATTCACTGTAGATTAAAATAAAAATAAAAGTAAAGATTGAGACAAGGGGGAAAAGCTGAATTTTAGACTGCTCATATTGGTTTGATTGCTAAAGATTGCTAATAATTGCCAATGAATATTTTTCTTCTTTAACATCGAAAAATCATGGATTCGAGTCTTTCTTAGTCAATATAAGTTTCTATCTTGAATAGCATCATAAAAATACGACGAATTTACTCGTCATTTTTCAGAGAAAAACAGAGTATATACATGATGAAAACTACATAAATTACTGTCACGTTATTAGCAGGAAATGTAAAAGCAAATCAAAATTTCTGGTGTTACCTAAAATTATCCTTCAAAGTCTGTATAGCCCATCGAAAAGGAACGATGCAATTCAAATATGAAAAACTGGAAGGTAAGTAGATTTTATCATTTATTCATAACGCGCTTTAAACGATCTGAAGACAAAGTAGACTTATCAGTTGAAAGCAGCCAAGCAGCTGTCTGTTTATGTAAATATTTTTTTGCACCATTAATGTTAACGATAAAGTACGACTTGGCCAAGGTTGGATTAATGGAATCAAAAACTCGCATTCCTTGAAATGTAGTCGAACTAACTTTGAAAAAATGATCAGACACATAATCGTCGTCATCCTCAGTTGAATCTTCATTATCTGTGCAATTTCCAGTAGTATCTTCATCTTCTTCACCACTACTATCATCTGAATCTGAGTCAAAGTCTGGATCATGTTGGTTAAGATGTGAATAATCGACTATTCGTGATTTTTGAAGTTGAAAACTAGCCAGTTTTGACAATTGTTTTAGCGATAAGATTTGATGCTGCTCATACATATTTACGTGACATACAAGACGACTTGCATAGGAATACGCTTGCAGAATAGTATTTTCAAGTGCTTTAACTGTTAGTTCTACGATAGAAGTCGATGCTATAGATGATATTTGTTTAGAATCGACTGTTCTAGACTGTTTGTGATGACGTGGAAATAAAAATTTATTATTGGAATCATTGGCGTTGTTATGACTTGCTTGACATTTAATAGAATTTAGAAATGATAGCTTTTTTACTCGCTGCAAAAATTGATGCACCGTAAAATTGACTATTGAAGAAAAAGGTCCTGACATGGCTCGACGTGACCGAAACGTACTTTCACAAGTTTGCGAGTTAAATATAGGTACATTTAAACAAGCTGTTGGTAGTTTGTGTTGAATAACAAGCAGGACGAGATAAACTAGTGTATGACTATTAATTTCGATAGAAAACATTGCGGGTAAAGTAATAAAATATTGCTGCTTTGTATTTTTCTTTTTGTGTGCCTGTGAAGAAAACAATTCAGCAAGAGTTGAATCGAGCTCACTTTTCGTCTTAGTGCTTAACCATGTGTACCAAAATCGAATCAAAAAGACACTTCTCCGTGCTTAGTGAATTCGATCAATATAATTTGTGTCCTTATTGATAAAAGCATATCGAATATTTCGAATTATCTGTAATACAGAAAAAGAATATATTACGTTTTTAGTAGTTTCTATTGAATCGTAAAAAGCTGTACCTCAAGATAAATCTTAGTTGCTTCAGAAGCTGGTATAGAAGTAAGTTCATTGAGAACAACTTCATTTGATATTTTTTCGCAGGATACGAAATTCTGTCTATCTTTTGGGAGAACATCTGACTTTACTAAATTGTGATTAAGTTTTGATGGTGTTTCAATTAGTTGTAGAATATGACCAATACTAATCAATTTATCCCCAAACAGCATTGTAGCTTTCGAAGATAATAATCTGTTTCGTAGTTTTGTGCATAAATGAATACTATCCTGAAAGAATACGATACGTTGATGGTTTCTCATAAAGAGCCAATCCCAACTCTACAAAAGCAAATAGATGAAAAACAATTGATCGGTAAATTAATGAAATTACCTTAGGAATGTCGACATAAAAAGCGTTGTCACGCAAATGGAATTGTTGATTTGGCATATCAGCAAAAAAACCCATTAATAAGCGCATTGGTCTTAAATAACGCACGTCGCAATCAGTGGAGAACCCGATCACTTTCACACCTTTTTTAACACATTGATTGATAATGGTCATCCACCGCATTAAAATGTCTAGCGTTGTGAAATGATTGTCAGTACCATATGCAGATAGAATAAATGGTGCACATGATTTTAAATCTAAATTCATAGGTTGGATCATATGAAGATTGAGAAGATGCGATTTGTTTAATGTACCAAACCAGTTTTCGAGTTTCGAAAAAGATTCAGTTGAGAAAGTATTAATTTTTGGTAAACCATCCTCAAGATGCGGCACAAAACCAATAAATGTATTCGATTGAACGTTATATATTATCTTAGGGATGACCCCAGTACAATCTTCAGATGCGAAGATGAAGTTTGTTTTTTGTAATGATAGATAATCACACATAAGGTCGTACCTGAAGTCTCCTTCGTTGATACGATTTGTAATGGAATCGAGCGAAGATTGAATGATCGGTAAAGATGGAAGAAGACCGGAAATATTAAGACGAATAAATTCGTATACATTTCGACCACCGAGAATGAATAGATTTGAGGCGAATTCACGTATAGAATCGTTGTAACAATAACGACTCTTGGCACGATCATGATTCGAAATAATCGTTTCCACTACAGTGTGTTTAAATTTAACAGAAGAATCATTCGATTGCGGCGAAAAATTTTCAAAAAAGCGTATAATTAGTCGAATAATCGGATGCCGTTCAAGAAGAACAGAAGAGATGGTTAATTCATTTGATTTGGATGAATTTCTTTGCTAAAGCGCTTGCAACGTTTGAATGAGATAATTGGCTTGAAAAGAAAGTCCTTCCTTCACTATGAAACTTCCATTGATTAAAGTAATTCCCACTTTGTTTTTTATCGGTAGAAGATCAGGCGAATCATAAAGGAAAAACGCAAACAAATCATTTATGCCAAGAAGAGAATCTACCGAGTTTACTTCAAGATATCGTAAAATATCAACCATTGTAAGACCGCATTGTTCTTTTACCACTTGGAAAAAGGCTTCGTCTTGAAGTTCGAAGACATTAGTGGGTAACGGAATAGGCATGAATGGTTTTTATTATCAATAAATTCAAAAGTTTGAGAGAATAGATTCGAATATTATAATCTAATATATCAGCTAATCCATTAAAACAAGTTAAATAATTATAAGTATTTTATTGATCAAAACGAAATGCTTATCTTTTATAAACGAACGTCAAAATCAAATCGAAAATCATTTTTTCCTATGTCTACAAATACATTAACGCTAAAACAGTTGAAAATATACATAAAATAAAAATGATATATAGTTTTTGTATCACACCAAACCCTATGAACATCTCGAGAGTAGTAATAAGTCGAAACAAGAGAAAAAAGAAGATAACTGATAGCGCAAATATACGCATTAGGATTAAAAATAAAAATAAAAAAGTATAAGCAAATGACCAAAAACAAAAATAACTAATTTAATCGTGGTCTTTTCCTCTTAGATGCATTTGAAGCAGAACGATTACGGTTATTAACTTTAGAAGATGTAGAGATGACGGATTTTAACTTTGACTGACGTGGAGTTGGTGCGAATGATTGATTTGTCGTCAATAGGTTTGCATGGCTATCATTTTCTTCATTATCAGTGCTGCTTTCCGTTGAATTTTTCCTTTTATCCGTCATCATTGAACAATTGATGGATTTGAAATGTCGATAAATATTCGAAAACTAAATCATAAAATATTTTTTTTAGTATAGAAAATTCACAGATTAGATTTTTTAATCTCTTACCACAAGAACTCCTTTTTTTTGACCAATGGAATTTTTTATGCCACATTTACATCGAAAAACAACGCCATCTCGTCGTTTGTTTAATTCAACATGAAAATCAATACCTTGGTGAAAGTTGGTGTTTTTTAAATTTAGTTCTTGTTGTTTTTTCTTGAGCCATTCGATAATAGTTTCTGAAATTCTAGTAGATATTTCATCGGTAAGAGTAGGTGCAACAGAAAAGTTAATCGAAGACGAATTAGATGAATTAATTGGTATTGGCGCATCTGATGGCGCTGTTGTGCGCATTGGACAGTGAGATATTGATACTTTTGTTGTTGGTAGAACAGACGAGATGGTGGTTGCAGCTGGTAAGACTGAAGAAGTGATTGATGGAAATCGTTGAACTTACTTGTTAATTTTTCTCGTTTCTTTTTGAGTAGTTTAATACGATTATTAACGGATGATTCAACTTCTGATAAAAGTGCAATCGTTCCATCGGTTAACATAACGCACGAATGCTTTTTTAGATCATTTAATTGGTCGGATTTAAGTTGGAGTATAGCAGTAACATATTTACATCCAAGGGATGAATCAACTCCATTGCATTCTTGAGAAGCAAACAATTATGCGACTCGCTTTTCACAAACTCAACGAGTTAAATCGTAAAATGCATCATCGCGAAGATCCATGATATTCGAAGGAAGTGTTTTGTATCGATTTATGGATATTTCGGTATAGAAACAAGTAACGCTCATCGACATCGGAAGTCGATTCACTGGGCCCTAGACTGACAATGCCGAGGAGGAGAAATACACGGACAGAACAGAAAATCAGTTATTTTTGCCAGCAGCTGCTGATAATATTTTCAAACAGATCTGTAATGGGAATGGGAATAAGTGAAACTGAGGTAAGAATTAGACGAAAATTAAAGGTTTCAAGTAACAGCACTCAAAGTGAAGACGAAAGACGGAGAGAATGTGACTCAAAGGTCCTTAAGGCGGGGGAGCGGTTGAGTCTAACCGAGAGGGCTGGCAAAGGTTCAGAAAAGGTTCTATTTGGCTAAAGTCCTGTAAAAAGTCCTTCACCCTCAACCTAAAGTCCCGCCATAGGACCTTACTGGTGGCGGCACCTGTCCACGGGACTTTGGGTAGGAGAAGTGACATTTTCTCGGAACTTTACCACTGCTGCTTACCGAGGCACAAAATACATGGCTCAGAAATTACGTGATGGCTAACTCAAAGTTCCGTAGGGGGTCAACTCACAGCATCCACTGACCCCATCTTCTGAGTGGACTGTTTCACCACGCGACTATGTCATGCATCCACCCATGGTTTTTACCGTAATAATACTCTTTGTGTAATAACAATGGTCGTTTATGCCATGGGATTGGTCATTTTGCACCGTGGAAGTGGTCATTTGTGCCATAGAATTGGTCGTTTGTGCCATTGTTACAGACAGACAGACGGACACAGGTGAATTACGGTTTATAGGCCCTATCCTTTCAGTCTAGGCAATATTAAAAATAGCGTAATTAATAAAATGAATAGTATGTAGGTCTGTTTGTGTGAAAAGATGGAAATGAAACGAAAACAAAAAGAAAAAGATATGGTTATATTTTTTCGTTCTGAATTTTTGTGCTACATGAGCCCATGAACACATGAACACACGAGAAAAGGAGAAAAGAAAAATATCGCCTTAGAATACATATTGACTTTTTACTGTTAATCGCGATTGACCGGGATATATCTGCATACGATACGATAATATTTATTATGATGATACAATACTTTACATACTGATAACTATTTAAATGGCAAACAATTTCATTGCCTTGAATAAAAAGCATTTTATTCTAAATCATTGCTATTGATTGTCAAAAATTGTCAAAGATTCCGAATGATTGCCAACGACTGCAATCACTTTCCCCCCCTAGAGTCCCAGGTCAAATATAGGTATCTCAAATGCATAAAAGTTAGCGGCCCAGACCGAACGAATCATAATATTTCAGTAATCAAACTTCTTAATACTCTGACGGTACCGCGGGCAAATTGTTTTGATGACAAAGCATTGGTGATACCACTCGAAATATTAAAAGTTTTGTTCGCTGAAATTTTTTTATTCGTTTAATCTCGGACGCTAATTTTTATGTTTGTTTTGATGAAAAAGCATTGGTGATACCACTCGAAATATTAAAAGTTTTGTTCGCTGAAATTTTTTTATTCGTTTAATCTCGGACGCTAATTTTTATGTATTTGAGATACCTATATTTGACCTGACAATAACATATACTTCTCGTTAAAATCACATAGAAACTCAGGGGACCTTCCCTCGTGAGTCACAAAGTTTTCAGCAAATTTGTAGTTCTGGTTTGTAACCGATCTGTAGTACTGCCACATAGGCACTAAAGAGCTGTTCGGAAATCAGAGAATCAGTACAAAATACGGGATGCTTGATGTAAAAGTAGTCAAGACGTTTCGATCATCGTATAGTAACAGACGCCGTATAAAAAAGACACCTGTACATCTGAAAGTGAACTAAACTGTATTTTTCGGCGATACGGAAGCAGTCAATTGACTAGATATTAATTTTCGTTGCAGCAAGTTGGTGACATGTGATAGTTTATTAATGAAGTATGAACGATTATTTAACCGCTTAATTTTTGTCGCCAGATAACTCATATTATCTTAATTCGTCGCAGGCGAAACATTATTCTCTAGAGATTTTTACAATCCAATATAGGCCTACAAAGTGTAGACGAATATAAATATGATAAAATTTCTGATATTTTCGAATGCGAAACTTGGAGATGACAAAAACGGCCGACTAAATTGTTTTCTATCACTACATTCGAAACTGTAGTGCGAGCTTCAATTACATATGTAAATGAGTAAGAACACTGTCCTGTCTGTACCTGCACCTTCGAAAAGTCACTAACAGCTTAGATTGATCAAGTCAGAAATTCTGCTAAATTCATATTCTTGCCTAGGAATGTGCAGTTTTAGTTTACTGACGGCTGTTCATGAGTATACTGTGCATGGAGTTAGCGTGGAATTTGAACTTGTGACAAATTCAAAATGCTTATACCGTTATACCACTATAGTAGTGTAGGGGTGTAGTGATATACTGAAATACTTCAGTATGGGTGAAGTTTATGATTGCACGACCGTGCATGGGAGTATGGGTTAAGGTGTGAGGCACAACATCATCCGTACTCACTAGGAATGCATCAATATCAGTATTATACTGGTCCAGTAAATACTGGTTTTCTACTTTCGAAAGTAACTATTAGCTAAATGAGTAATTTTCTCAGCCATCACATCTTTTCTCTACATTCAAATGAGAAATTGAGTTTTGCAGCAATTTGAAACAGTATAAGATATTGTATACTCGGCTAGCTGATAACATTATATAAAACTTTTTCAATAGTTTCCAACGTTTTTGAAGAAAAAAAACGTTTTATTCATGGACTTAGTCAGATAGTAAAACAATCTTATTAAATAAACCGATGAATCGGAGTACTATGTTTAACATACCAACATGAACTTAGGTTTAACCAATCACGAAAAAAACATGGATATTTAGTGAGTTTTATTAACTTTTAGTTACATGAATCTCATTTAAGTAAATGACTTGATTTTTCTACTTCTCTCTCAGCCGAATGACAGTATTTTCACATATCTATTGCATTAGTTTATTTATATAAGTTACATAGAGAAAGCTAGAACTTTTTTGTTCACGACATCAGATATGGAACAGATAATACATATTAAATGTAAATTCCAGCACAGTAAACAAACAATAACTCCACCATAGGAGTCGCCACACTGCGATCCCAGTGCCAGTCGCAAGTCCGGGAAAAGGAGGAGTGTTAGAAGGAAGGGGTGTAGATACCGCCGTCTGTAAAGAAAAGACAAGACGAAAGAAGTCAACTATGTGTGATCAATACAGAAAAATCATACCTGCTCGGGCTAGACATGCACCAAACCCAAACAGTTTGGGTTTGGTGGAATGATTTTGGGTTTGGGTATTTAGTTGAAGTGCGAGAAAGCCTTTGTTGTCATCCAATATTCAAATATGACAATACAACTTTGTAGCCTAGTCCAAGTTAGCATAAGCAAAGGCACATAAAGTTCAATTAAAATTTCACTGACTTCGACAAATACTTTTGTAATGACTGAAGTACGTGATAGATTATTGCAAACGTTTTGACAGTATATACTAGTATCTTATATATACTGTGTCACAAGTTTTTAGGAGTTTTAAATTTACTATCCATATATTATTAAGCATGATCATAATTGAATCTCACATGCTCGTCTTTCACTATCAATTTCAAAAGAAAACTAGCATAGAGTATTCGACATATTTTTATAATCATGATGTAGGTGAATAGAAGGTTATTCATGAGGGTGTAGGTGTTGACTTCCATTTGACAGCCATCGCCACACACCCACACCCACACCCTTTTTTTTAGAGTGTTCATGGCCCGTTTTCTTCAATTTTTTTACGCTATGGGATTCTCTGTTATTTAGACGTCGAAATACTTTTTCGTAGTTCTAGACTTGGAATTATATGGCAAAAGAGATTGTAGTTATCCTTATCACTATTATGGAAATGTCATCTGATATGCTTTGTTGAATCATAGGAAACGACGGAAAAGTTTATCATTTATTGATGTCTCCTATGAGATCATTTTAGAACGAAAGTGGAACTATACGTGTTTGTTCTTTTCGACATAAAATGAAATTGATGTATTTGGCAGATATTATGCATTGAGTAGAATGAGGAGTAGAAAAGATCGCGATTAATTTTAATGAATTACAAATTGATTTCATTGTTAATATTGTTTTTTTGGAATTCAAAGTCTATTAAAGATTATACCGCATCAATCGTTTTTTTATTTGTAAAAGCTAGGCTGAAATCAATTTAAATCTCAAATTAACTAAATGTCTATCTTAATAAGATCTGAATATCTTATCAATTCGTTCTATTTTAATTGACTAAGTTTTCAATGAGTATTTTGTTTTCCTTTCAAAAGGTAAACATATTAGACAAAAATCCCACCAAAGTTATTGAGTATTCGAGCAATATTCAAATGAAGTCGTTCGTAGCATTTAACGACTTCATTAAAAATAATCGAACAATCCAAACTCTATCAATCGATAACTTTGATGTACTTGAATCATGATGGAATCATTATTAATATTTAAATTGATTAGAATCGATTCAGATCAACACAGGTTGGTTACTAGCTTCAACACGAATACACAAAATAATTCAATACACTTGATGCTTATTCTAAAGTTTCTGCATAGGTTATTGCCCAATTTGAGGGCGTGGATTCACGAAATTATTTCAATTTTAGAGTTTGTATTTCTTATAATAGATTCCTTTCGAATCAATAATTAATCAGAAATATGTTTCTAATCTATCTCTATGCACTTTTTGTACTTCTACATGGCGCGAGGGTGTGGGTCGATATGACAACAGAAACCAAAGTGTACCCATCAAAACGCCCATACTCCCATATGCCCTCCCTTAATAATCGATGGAGTGTTGAGAAATGTTTTTTGTGTAGTACTGGCATAGATTGTTATAAAATGCACTACTCAAAAATTGTATAGGTTCACTTTCATCTGTTCTCATTAATTGTACTAAAAATTTGCAATTCAGTCATATATATATTATAGTAGATCCTTTCTGAAGGAATTGAAACGTCATCAGAAAGTGTCTATATCTCACTGTGTAGCATCAGATGAATCGAATCGTGTTTTGTCGTTTTATATTAATTTGGACGGTTTTGCATAGCATTGCTTGTGGATTTCTGATATATTCAGCATTTAGTACAATAATTAAACAAAAAAGAGGGCAGCCAAAGACTATGGCTGTAACTATTTTAAAATAACATTTCAATTCAAGTTTTAAGCCAGATGTTCTATTCCTTCATAGTGATATTATTGCTCTAGAACTACAGCGTTCGCGTGAAAGACGCCACACCATTGAACAACGTTTTAAAATGCATGATCTGCTGTATGCTAGTAGTAAAGGAAAAGATGACATGCATTTCGATGCGAAGCCATCCTATTCACCTAAACACAAAACACTTTCTTTTCTCAATTATGAGCTGAGTCCAATAAAACATAAGATGGCAGCAGTACTTCCCGCTACACTTGGACACTTTGATCTGCTTTCAAACTTCGCTGTCTCTTGCAAAATGACGAATCCAAATATTGGTTCATTATTCGATGTTATTTGGATAGTTGTCCCAGATATTCATTATAGTAAAATATACGAGTCATTGTTGAGGACTGATTCTCTTCATCCTGTCATGCGTGTTGTCTGTGAATCATGGGTTCTACCAGAACAAAAAATGTTTCACGTCTATAATCCATGGTTAGTACAGCAAGACATTAAACTGGCGATTTCAGCTTTCATCCGTACAGATTATTACTTATGTTTCGATGCTGATGTCATGTGTGGACGTGAATTGCACTTTGAAGATTTCTTTACTACAGACGGCCGAGCTAGGACAAGCGAGGAGAGAGCATTAAGCTTCTTTGCATTCACAAGTGGAAATTTAAATAAAACATGCACAAACGTGAAACTTCCTCCGCCGTTAGTAAAAAACAACACAAGAATGATGGCTTTCACCCCACTACCCGTTCACACTCATATATTATTTAGCCTGGCTAGTTTTCTCGAAAATCGAGAAGGTGAGCCATGGCTACAATATTTGATTGGGCTTCACATAAAAAATAAAAAATGGACAGAGTATACACTTTATTGGATTTATGCAATCTTCATTCGGGCGTATCACCGTTTACACTACCCAATAAGTACTAAAGAATTTTGTGGTACCTTACCCACCAAAAGCGGCTTGGCATATAAATGGTTTTCACAGCTAAATCATACAAATAGACCGCCATTCGTTGGTGTGAATGACCACGACAGATCTATAGACATAGCACGGTTATCTGCTGAATTGCGAGCTGCATTGTTAAAATCACGATAAGAACAACACTACATAAAAGTTTTTTCTTTTTGAAGATCTGACTGAAAATGCTAAGAAGTCGTACACTAATTTAGTAATAAAGAAGCTTCCAATCTGAAGCTTTTGATCAAACAAAGTTACTAATAGGAACTATTAGTATTTTTACAGCGAGTGTCAAAAGTGTTTAGGGTGTTATATAGGCAGCCATAACGCGTTTCGATCTTTCATAAAGATCTCATCAGATGGTATTAAATCTATGTGATTACTTCAAAATTAAGTTCGCAACCGGCAGGAGTTATTCTAATTTATACTTTTGTGATATAGAGAACTGTTTTTACAAAGGAGGGAAGACACTTTGTACACAAAACGGCCCTAAATGAAAATCAGTTCAAATCAGTTCTAACTACGATTTGACGCTGTACTGTGTGTGAGTACACGATTCTGAGCCTTTACAGGACATTTTCAAAAGGTTTTAGTGGTTAACCCTACTTTGGTCGAAAGTAAAAATGTCGAAAGATAAAAATATCGAAAGGTAAAAATGTCGAAAATAAAAGTGTCGAAAGGTAAAAATTTCGACTGATAATGTTAAAAAATTTCTTATTTTAGTTCTGTGTGTGTAAAAAGAGTAAAAGATGTTTTTGTTTAAAAAGTTTTATTTATCGAAAAAACGTTGGGAGCAAAATTTTTGTTTAAAAATGCGGAATGATGCTCGATGATAACTATTCTTCAGCCGTAGATTGGGTTTCTATATGTTTCTTTTTTGCTCCAACAACTAATGATAAACCAATAAGTAGATCTGATGAGTTGAATGACGTTTGAATTTGATTGATGATGATGATCACATTTACCTCCGTATAAATAAACATCATTTTCATCCGTGTGAACTACCATTTGAGCATCCACTAACA